TCAACGGGGACAACCGAGGGGGGGGGGAGTTACGTGAGAGACACCAGACGGGGCAGGACGAGGCGGGAGAGGGGCAGGGGCTACCAAGGGAGAGGGAGCAAGGAACAGGGGGGGGGCAACCGGGAGACCTCGGTGAGGGAAGCGACTGTAGAAGGGGACAAACTCGTCAAAGGTGACGTCACGAGAGTGTAGGAAGCGGTGAGACGGCGGGTGGTAGAAAAGCCAGTCAGACGAGTCCAGGGGGAAACCGAGGAAGACACAGGGGACAGTGCGGGCAGTGAGCTTGTCCGTGCCAGAGGCACGAACGTGAGCAAGGCAGCCCCAGACGTGGAACGCAGACGCGTCACCGGGGGACCCGGTCAAAAGGAGGGTCAGCGAAACGTGCGGCTGCTGGGAGCGTGGCCACAAGTTAAGTTGGTGAGCAGCGTAGCGAACAGCGAACGGCCACAGAAAATGGGGGGCATCGGCATGAATCATGGAGGTACGGGCGACCTCCATGACCAGGCCGATGCGGCGCTCAGCAACCCCATTCTGCTGTGGCGAGTCCGGCAAGGTGTACGACTGGGTGATGCCCTCCGCACGACAGAACTGTCCAAGCCGACCAGAGGCGAGCTCGCCGCCACGGTTAGAGTGGAGACGCAACATGGGGAGACCGCGGTGAAGACGCGCAGCCACGACTCACGGGAGAAGAACGTCGAGCACGTCGGCCTTCCGCTTCAGGGGAAACACCGTGGTGTAGCGCGTGTAGTCGTCGACGAGCAGAAGGAAGTAGCACTCACCTCGCGGTCCGGGGACGGGGGCAGGGCCCCAAACGTCCAGGTGTAGGGTCTGAAGGGGGGCAGTAGCAGGGCGCAGCGAGGAGGAGTGAGGAGAGCGGCGGAGCCGGCCCTCGACGCAAGGCGTGCACGGTGGCGCAGTCGAGGGAGGAAGGGCAGGGAGCGACGCAGGGAGACCTAAGACAAGACCGTGCTGGGACAGGTGACGCAGACGTGGGAATGCAGGGTGACCTAGGCGGTGGTGCCAGAGAAGGGACGGGTGAGTGAGGGACCGACACGAGCAAGCTGCATCGACCTGAGAGGACGCACCAACCTGGGGGGAAGCAGTGTCTAGGGTGAACAGACCGGACACCGTGTCTCGGGGGAACGTCGCAAGAAGGGAACCTGAGACAGACTCAGAACAGACAGCGAACCGCTCGTGCCCGAGGAACGTGGTGGTGACGCCTAGGTCCTGGAGACAGCCAACACCAACCAGGTTCCTCAAGAACGAGGGAACGTGGAGACCTGTAAGGGTGCCTGAGGGAACTGCTGGACAGGGAAGGGACGTAGAACTGCGAGCGACGACAGGACCCGCAGAGGGGTCAGCGAGAGAGACAACAGCAGGCGTAGCAAGCGGTGTGAGCGCGGAACGGTCGCGGAAGAAGCAGGCAGAGGCACCGGAGTCGAGAGTGAAGGACAACGAAGCATCGGCGGAGGCCGGGAACGGAGCCGGTGCAGAGACTAGGCTAGGCAAACGAGGCAGTCCTACGCCTGACGCAGCAGGGGAGGCTAAGCTACACAATGGGGCAACACCTAAACTAGAGTACACAGGGTAATAAGATCCAGCAACACTAGAAGCGTCAGAATACAAGGCATGCAAAGCAGCACCTATCTGAACCATGTCTAACTCAAAGATTGGCACGCCCTGGCGGAGAAGGCCGTGCCAGTCGGGGAGGTCCGGGGCCGGGCCAAAGCGACGACGAAAGAGATCGTCGAGGCGGCGGAAACAGTGGGCGGTCGGGTGCGGGCGGCGGCACAGAGTGCCGCGAAGAGGCCCGGTCTGCAGCTGGTACTGGCAAGTGACAGCACCGGAGCCGCCGGGAGACACCGAGCTGCGCGGGCTGCCACCACGGCCACTACCTCCGGAGGTGCCGGGCCAACCAGGCGGGAGACGGGCCCACGGCTGCGGCGGCTGCTGCTGGGACGGCGGCTGCTACTGGGGCTGCTCCTACTGCGGCTGGGGCTACTGCTCCTGCCCACCGGTGGTAGTCCCCGCAGGTGGACTACCGTCACGACCACCACCACCACCACCACCTGCACCACCACCCCTACCTCCCTGACAACCATGGCCACCGCGGCGCGAGCGCTGCTGCGGGTGGACCGCAACAGCCGTCTCGGTGAGAGGGGTCGCCGTGGCGACCGCAGCCGAAACGTCAGTGAACGTGCACTGGGAGGGGGCACAGCCGTGAAAGATAGAGACTGCCGGCGCACCGCTCGACTGAGCGATAGTGCGCTTGCGAGTCTCGATCTCAGTGAGGGTATCGACAAAGGCGGTGAGGGTGAGGTCAGCCGGGTGCTGGCTAAGGAGGTGATCGCGAGCACTAGCGAGGCAGTCTGGCAGGCGCATGTCGATAAAATAGAGCGTCATGCAGAAAGGGGGGGGGAGCGCAGTGAGCTGGGCAGCAGTGCTGGCAGTGCGATAGCGGGTCTCTAGGGCACGCAGGTGAGTGGCAAAGTCTGCGACGGTAGGGAAGGCTGCAAGGTCTGGGAACAGCATCGGGAAGAGCAAGCAGCCAGCAGAAGCAGACGCGGGTGTGGAATAGCGAGCAATAACGGTGTCTAAGTAAGCTTTGGCCGTCCCAACAGTAGCAAAACGCGAGCGCTCAGACACAGGGAGGGCGTGGCTTATAGCAACCTGAGCGACTGCATCGCAGGAGTCCCAGACCGCATAGGCAAGCGCAGCAGTAGAGAAGGTCTCACGGTCATCAGAGGACGGGTCAGCAGGGAGGGGAGCAGGTGCAGGGGGGCGGGGGAGCAAGCCATCGGCATGGACAACAAAAGAGTGGCCATCCTGGCGCTGACCTGTAAGGTGGCGGCGGAGATCGGAGAGCCAGGCGGCGAAGTCAACCGCATGGCCCTCGGTGTCCAGTCGGAGCACGAAGTCAGCCATCGTGCAGGGTCAGCGGCACAGCTCCACAGCTCAGCAGGAACACAGCGACGCAGGGACATGGTGGCGGCTCTCTCCAGCACGGCGGCCGCGAGGCGCCCCAGCGCTGGCGAGCAGAGTAGACGGAGCCCGAGGTGGCACGGCAGGCCGAGCAGGCACGAAGAGGGGCCGGGCGAGTAGTGGGAGAGGCCAGGCAGACGCGGCGGGGCCAGGCAGGCGCGGCAGGGCCAGGCAGGCGCGGCGGGACCAGGCAGGGGCGGCGGGGCCAGGGAGGTGCGGCAGGGCCAGGCAGGCGCGGCAGGGCCAGGCAGGCGCGACGGGGCCAGGCAGGCGCGACGGGGCCAGGGGAGGCGCGGCGGGGCCAGGCAGGCGCGGCGGGGCCAGGCAGGCGCGTCGGGGCCAGGCAGGCGCGGCGGGGGCCTGGCAGGCGCGGCGGGGCCAGGCAGGCGCGGCGGGGCCAGGCAGGCGCGGTGGGGCCAGGCAGGCGCGGCGGGACCAGGGAGGCGCGGCGGGGCCAGGCAGGCGTGACGGGGCCAGGCAGGCCGCGACGGGGCCTAGCAGGTGCGTCGGGGCCCAGGAGGGGCGCGACGGGGCCCAGGAGGGGCGCGACGGGGCTAGGAGGCGCGACGGGGCCCAGGAGGGGCGCGACGGGGCTAGGAGGTGCGACGGGGCCCAGGAGGGGCGGGACGGTGCCCAGGAGGGGAGCGACGGGGCTAGGAGGCGCAACGCGGCCCAGGAGGGGCGCGACGGGGCCCAGGAGGGGCGCGACGGGGCCCAAGAGGGGCGCGACGGGGCTAGGAGGCGCGACGGGGCCCAGGAGGGGCGCGACGGGGCCAAGGAGGGGCGCGACGGGGCTAGGAGGTGCGACGGGGCCCAGGAGGGGCACGACGGGGCCCAGGAGGGGCGCGACGGGGCTAGGAGGCGCGGCGGGGCCCACAAGGGGCGCGACGGGGCTAGGGGGGCGCGACGGGGCCTAGGGGAAGCGGCGGGGCCTAGCTAGGGTACGGGCGGAAGCGGTAGGTGGGGGATTCTAACCTACGCGTGATACCATGTTAAAGAAAGAACTGAATAAATGAACTAGAAGTAGAAACCTAGAACAAATACTAGTTGGTTGTACTCACTAGAAGCATACCCCAGTCTAGCCTATAACTTGTACACAGCTAACATGTATAAGTTGACACCATCAACCTTTGCTTACAGCTCACCATGCACCCATGGACCATGCAGGCTCACCATGCGAAAATATCTCTTGCTGCCTTGCCGCAGCCACTGACGACCTTTGGCTGCAATCAATAGCCAAAGCCGCCACCACTGACGGTCCTTGACTCACTAGCTGACTTTCCTTGAACCGCCTGCCTGCAGTCCCCCTGCCTGCTTATTGACTGCGGTTTAATGCAGCAAGGAACGAAAAGGAAGGGCAAGGGAGGGTTGTGACAAGCGGGGAAATGGAATGGAGGAGAGCCAGCAGGGAGGGACGGAGGTGACGGAGTAAGCGAAAGGTAGCGAAGACGTGTAAGCGGGAGTAACCACGAGGCGCTGGTTCTAGCGAGGTGGCTGAGAGGAAGGCGGGTCATAACGCAACCCTAACCGAAGGTACAAGAGCTTCGCGAGGGAAGAGATGAGCTGGGAGCGACACACGCGAGAGGGAGTTCCGAAATGCACATGGGAAAACAACTTGAACATATCTGGCAAAAGTCTTCTTGTGTAGTATCTTCGGCGGCCAGTGCATTCCGTACATATTGCTCTCGCTCGTTCGGGAACCGTGTAGTAGCGAGATAGGGAGGGCGAGCGGCAATACCGTAGAGCACTAGGAAGGGCGGCAGGATAGCAGGGAGGGACAGACTCTTAGTTTGGACCTGAGGGGGTGTATCAAGTAGCTGAATAGCACAACGAAAAGCTTGTGACGTCGAGTAACTGCCCCCGGAAGCTTCTAAATCGGTACTGTACCGCGTTGCAACATCAGGTAACGTTGTTTTCTTTACACTTGATACACGCCCTGAGAGAGATGGCAAGAAGGAAGGTATCTATGGGGCTGGATTGTCGCATGCTTCCGCATGCCTCGATAATACCGATGAGCTGCGACAATCAGCTCTCAATCGCATGGATGAAGTGTTCAAAACAGCTACAATTCTCCATGTTTTTCAACTCTACCATATTCACATCTCACATCGCTCCCATCGCATCATGGACACAACATGAGGTAAATGTAATTCACCAACTCTCGACTAAGATGGAAGTGTTCAGACTACAAATGGGTCCACGAGTCGACGGCCAAAATTCTTCCAAGCCAAAGCAGCTGCTAGTTAGTGTAATTGGTACTCCCATCCTTAGCCTGTTGTCAGATACTCAGAAGTCAGCCGATCCAGGCACACGGGGGAAGGGGATGGCGTCGCGAATGTTCTCAACGCCCGTTGCAAACTGCACCAGGCGCTCAAAGCCCAGGCCGAACCCCGCATGCGGAACTGCATGGGTTAGGGGAAGAAGGGGAGGTGGGGGGTTGATGGGGGGGAGGCGGGAGGGAGGGAGTGGGTGAAAGAAAGGAGGGGCCACAAGGAAGTGTGCGAATGACGACCCATGTTGCAAACTGCGCCAGGCGCTCAAAGCCCAGACCAAACCCCGCATGCTGAAGTGCTTGGGGAAGGGGAAGGAGGGGAGATTGGGGGGGGGTGTGGGGGGGTGTGGGGGGGGGGTTGGGAAGGAGGGGGTGTATGGAAGGAGGGGCCATAAGGAAGTGCACGAATGACAACCCATGTCGCAGACTGCAACAAGCTCTCAAAGCCCAGTCCAAACCCCGCATGCGGAACTGCTTGGGGAAGGGGAAGGAGGGGAGGTAGGGGGATGGTGTGGGAAGGAGGGGTGGAAGGGGGATGGTGAGAGAAGGAGGGGAGGCCAAAAGGGAATACACAAACTGCACCAGGTGCTCAAAGCCCAGACCAAACCCCGCATGCGGAACTGCACAGAGCGAAGTGTTTTGGTGGAGAGGGGTTGGGGAGGTGGTGAGCAGAGGGGCCAGGGAGATGGGGAATGCAGGCAGAAGGGGGTTTTAGGAGGAGGGAGGGAGAAAGAGGGGTCGGAGTGCAAAGTGGGAGGGAGAGGGGTTTTCATGCGAGCACAAGGTTTGCTGCATGCACAAGGTGGTCTTTTGAGGGTGATAGCAGCAGGCATGGGAGGGAATGGCTCCGTACCCTTTTGTGGTCATTGCAGCTCACCCCTACCGCATCTTATCCACCTAAGCTGTATTTAACCAACCTGGGCTGTACCAACCCGCCTGAACCGCATCAAGCGTAACTAGGCTTGGCCCTTGGGTTGTTTAAAGACGCCTCAACAATGCCCACTTATCACACTGCACAAGCAACTATCAGACCCACCTGAACCGAATCAGACCAACCTGAGCCGTATCTCCGGAGGTCGAGGTACCACCAGTAGGCCTGGGGGTCCAGCCCCACGTCCCTCATCCGCCCTTCCAGGACCTCCAGCCTCTCCTCCCTCTGACTGCCACCTATCAGCTCCCCCACCTGCGGCCAAGTAAGGGCAAAGGAGAGACGAGAAGGGAGATGAGACTCGGGGCGAGAGCAATAGATACAGACAGGGGGGAAGGGGGGATGGGGAAGGGGTAAGGAGCCAAAAAAACACATGGATGGTCCTTGATGCAAGCACTATGATCCTCCCACAAAAAACCTTGTTTGAAAACAAAAGAAAGAAACGAACTGCTACCCGTGGTACACGCACATGCATTTCCTTGGTCAAGCACATCCGATGCATTCAGTAGCAGCACATCCAATACAAGCACACCCCTTACCCTGGGTAAGAGAACGTCTTACCCTGGGCACAAGCACATCCATGGCAGCAACGGTCTTGCCATCGTCATTGAGCCGCATGTAAAACGCCTTAATGTCCTGATGAAGGGGGGGGGGGAGAGGGGGAGAATGCAGAAAAGGGAAAGTTGGGGTTGAGCAGAAAGGATAAACGGTGAGCAAGGGATGTGTGGGGGGGCCGGGAAGAGGGACAAGAGGGAAGGAGAGGAGAGAAGGGAGCAAGCAAGCAGGAGAAACAAGAGGGAGGAGACGAGAGAGGGGAGCTTGTCTTGGGGTAGTCGGTGACCATGATTGGCTCTGACGCGCCCCATCATTACCTTGGGGTAGTCGGTGACAATGATTGGTCGGTTCTTGAATGCCTTCTCTGTGAGATACCTCTCGTGCTCGCTCTGCAGGTCGATGCCCCACTCCACCTGCCACCCATGCAAGCACATCATGGGAGTATGAGTGCAAGCATGTGAGCATACAAGATGCATGCATGAAATGAAAGGAGCCATTCCACCTGCCATCCATGCATGCGTGCACAGGGATATGAGTGCAAGCATGTGAGAATACAGAACTCATTCCGCCAGTCATGCATGCATGAAAGGAGTCACTCCACCTGCCATCCATGCGTGCACTCATGGTGCATGCATAGGACTATGAGTACTCGCATTGCACTCATGGTGCATGCATAGGACTATGAGTACTCGCATTGCACTCATGGTGCATGCATAGGACTATGAGTACTCGCATTGCACTCATGGTGCATGCATAGGACTATGAGTACTCGCATTGCACTCATGGTGCATGCATAGGACTATGGGTACTCGCATTGCACTCATGGTGCATGCATAGGACTATGAGTACTCGCATTGCACTCATGGTGCATGCATAGGACAATGAGTACTCGCATTGCACTCATGGTGCATGCATAGGACTATGGGTACTGGCATTGCACTCATGGTGCATGCATAGGACAATGAGTACTCGCATTGCACTCATGGTGCATGCACAGGACTATGGGTACTGGCATTGCACTCATGGTGCATGCATAGGACTATGAGTACTCGCATTGCACTCATGGTGCATGCATAGGACTATGAGTACTCGCATTGCACTCATGGTGCATGCATAGGACTATGAGTACTCGCATTGCACTCATGGTGCATGCATAGGACAATGAGTACTCGCATTGCACTCATGGTGCATGCATAGGACTATGGGTAGTCGCATTGCACTCATGGTGCATGCATAGGACAATGAGTACTCGCATTGCACTCATGGTGCATGCACAGGACTATGGGTACTGGCGCACTCATGGTGCATGCATAGGACTATGAGTACTCGCATTGCACTCATGGTGCATGCATAGGACTATGGGTACTCGCATTGCACTCATGGTGCATGCATAGGACTATGGGTACTCGCATTGCACTCATGGTGCATGCATAGGACAATGAGTACTCGCATTGCACTCATGGTGCATGCATAGGACTATGGGTACTCGCATTGCACTCATGGTGCATGCATAGGACTATGAGTACTCGCATTGCACTCATGGTGCATGCATAGGATTACGAGTACAATGCACCCACCAATTGGGGGATCAACATGTGGCTTAGTCGAACATGCTAAAAATAGAGTGGAGGACCCATGCATGCACAGGTGCGGTGCATACATAGGTACATGACCCACTCACCGGATAGTCGAACTTGGTCTTGGCTTTCTTCAGTATGCTGATGGCGTCGGTGTAGGGCACGTGCTCGAACTCACTCTCCACCACCGACTGGGAGGTTGGGGGGACAGAGGGAAGCGGATAAAGGGTCGCACGTGCTCGAATCACCCTCCAGGCTCCAGCATGGACTGGGAATGAAGGAATAGGGTGGTTGTGTGGGGTTGTGTGGGGTTGAGGGGGTGAGCAAGAATGCCATTGGAGTGGGGCACCTGCTCGAAATCACTCTCCACCATGGACTCGAGGGCGGGAGGGAAAGGGCGGTTGGGGGGGAAGGCAGAGGGCAGACAGAGACAAGGGAAATGCACGTGCTGAAACGCACGTGCTGAATCCCAGACTCCACTCCGCCAGGGACGGGGGGGCAGGGGAATGAGGAGGCAGAAAGGGCATGGGGGAGCGAAGTCAAGGAAGCCAAGGAAGGTAGGAGAAAGAACGGTGGGTAAAAGAGGGGGGAGATATGGTTGTGAGGTTCCTCAACATGTGTGCTAAAAATTACTCTCCCTCCACCATATGTGACTGAGAGTGAAGACGGGTGGATGGATGGAGAGAAGGGTGGCGGCAAGAAGGAGGAGGCGGAAGGTAAAAAACGAGATAAGGGTAACAGGGTAACAGAGAAATGAAGGTGTGTAACTGTCACGCACTCCCTGCAACACATGTACATCACTCGCCGTGAGCCGTTGGATGACCCCGGCACTTACTGTGAGCCGTTGGATGATCCTCGGCACTTACTGTGAGCCGTTGGATGATCCCCGGCTCCACAAACTTGTCAAAGAATCTGAAGTCCTCCTCGCATTCGCCCATGGCTTCCCGGAGCTGCAGAGGGGGGAGGGGCGAGAGAGGAGACAATAGGGCGAGAGAGGAGACAATAGGGCGAGAAAGGCGACAATAGGGCGAGAGAGGAGACAATAGGGCGAGAAAGGCGACAATAGGGCGAGAGAGGAGACAATAGGGTGAGAAAGGCGACAATAGGGCGAGAGAGGAGACAATGGGGCGAGAGGGGAGACAATAGGGCGAGAAAGGCGACAATAGGGCGAGAGAGGAGACAATAGGGCGAGAGGGGAGACAATAGGGCGAGAAAGGCGACAATAGGGCGAGAGAGGAGACAATAGGGCGAGAGGGGAGACAATAGGGCGAGAAAGGCGACAATAGGGCGAGAGGGGAGACAATAGGGCGAGAGGGGAGACAACAGGGCGAGAGAGGAGACAATAGGGCGAGAGAGGAGACAATAGGGCGAGAGGGGAGACAATAGGGCGAGAGAGGAGACAATAGGGCGAGAGGGGAGACAATAGGGCGAGAGGGGAGACAATAGGGCGAGAGGGGGAGACAATGTGGGGAGAGGGGAGACAATATGGGGAGAGGGGAGACAATATGGGAAGAGGGGGAGACAAGTGAGAGTGAAAGAAGAGAGGGCAGATGTGAGGGGAAAGGAGAAGAGGTTGGCGGTAGGGAAATGAGGTGAGTGGAGGGAAATGAGGTGAGTGGAGGGAAATGAGGTGAGTGGAGGGAAATGAGGTGAGTGGAGGGAAGGGAGTTGACTGGAGCAGGGAAGGGAGGAAAGCGGACAAGTGCGGTTGCAAGGGCAGTCTGGACGTGGACACTGGACAGGACACAAGGAAGAATGGTACTAGATTATACGACACCGAGGCAGTCTAATGTGGCTACGTTTGAGGCACCTCGAAACTGGACAGGACACACAAGGGAGAATAGTACTAGATTGTCTCGGTGACAGTCCTGTGTGTCCTTTTAATGAGTCCTGTGACTGTCTCGGTGTCTCTGGAGAGGACCCAAGGGAGACACCGAGGCAGTCTAACGACTGGGACAGACAGCACTTTGACGCAAGGTGCACATAGCACATAGGTTCGCCGCGACTAAGGGAGCAAATAGCAACTGCTGGTGACACTTTCGTACACCTTGGAGACATGGGTAAGTTGCTCAAACGTGCTGTATGCATGGGGATGACATGCCTGCATACACCATGGAGACATGGCAAAGTTGATCAGATGCACCATGCCCATGGGAATGACGTGCTCACAATGTACTTGAGGTATGCCGTGGCACATGCCATGTCATCTGCCAGGTCAGCAAATGCCAGCTCAGGCTCTATCATCTGAAAGAAGAGACGGCGAGAAAAAGAAAAGTGATGAGTGTTGAAAAAGGAACGACCAGTAGGGCGACTAACAGTACAGACCGAAGGTGGTGCGGGAAAGATGAAACGGAGGGGGACATGTGGATGCGGGGATGCGGGGATGCGTCATACATCATACATGGGAGCTTACCCAGAATTCTGCGAGGTGCCGAGAGGTGTTGGAGTTCTCAGCGCGGAACGTGGGACCGAATGTGTACACCTGGGGGGATGGGGAGATGGGGGGAGATGCGGACGGGGAGATGGGGAGATGCTTTTGAGTCCATTCAGAAGCACATCTGGAAGGGGATGGGGGGACGGGGAGATGGGGAGATGGGGAGATGGGGGGATGGGGGGATGTGGAGATGGGGGAGGGGAAGAGGGATGAATTGCGTGCATGAGTGCATGAGCTGCGTGAGAGAAAGGTGGAGGAGAGGAGAGGCCACGGGGTTGGATGTGAGAGGCAAGGAAAAGGCAAGGCGAACACATACAGAGATGTTTCAGTCATTTGGCAAAAAAAACCACACCGCACCACACCACACCACACACATACTCACGTCGTGCAGAGCACAAGCGTAGATCTCCGCGTTGAGCTGACCCGACACTGTGAGGTACGCTGGGCGCTTGAAGAAATCCTGGGGGGTGAAACCGAAAAGGGGAGGGGGAGCCATGGCATTGTGGGGTGCTGGGCGAAACAGAGAGATGCAGAGAGGTACAGTGAGTCGATGTGAGATGTGTGCACAGTGAGTTGACGTGAGGCGTGCAAAGGGAGAGCAAAGCAAGCAGCTCAGGCAGCTCAGCCACCTGCCTGGCGCTACTCACCAGTGCCACGCCATTCATTCACCTGGGACCAGTCCACAGATCCGTCCTTAGTGGTGGGAATGGCTTTCACTGGCGTGGAGGCGTCTGGAGATCCTGGGAGCTGAGCCGCAACGAAATGGGGAAACATAGGTGAGAGCATCAGCCATGAGACGTGAGAGAAAGAGAGAGGGAGAGGGAGAGGGAGGAGGATACAGAAAACCGTGGCCTTGGGAGAGTGTGGGAGCTGGGTTGGGGTGCACTTGGGAGAGTGACCCAATGGACAAGGGAAACTTTGACAGATGATTGTACGGGGCGGTGGCCATGCATCCTTACACACCCCCACCCCCCGCCCCACCCCCACACGCATTGCTTCCCCCACATCCACATCCACATCCACATCCACATCCACATCCACATCCGCATCCACATCCACATCCACATGCACGCACATGCACATGCACATCCACATCCACATGCACGTGCACATGCACGTCCACATGCACATGCACATCCACATCCACATCCACATGCACATGCACATGCACATTCACATGCACATGCACATCCACATCCGCATCCACATCCACATGCACATGCACATGCACATCCACACCCACACCCACACCCACACCCACACCCAGACCCACATCCACATCCACATCCACATCCACATCCACATCCACATCCACATCCACATCCACATCCACATCCACCCCACACCCACACCCACACCCACACCCACACCCACACCCACCAGCGTGGTCACTCTGAACTGGTCCCCGGCTCCCTCACAGTCGGACGCAGTGACGATGGGTGACGCCACCCACACGAAGCCGTGCGACTGGAAGAAGCGGTGGGACGCCTGCGCTAGTGCGCTGCGCACCCGAGACACCTGGGTGATGGGATGGAATGGGGAATGCAGGTGGCCAAATCCCTCAACAGGACGGCAGGACACACGAATCCTATCAGCTAATAACCCCATGCACAAGGAGAGATGGCTCGATTGGGCTAGCAGCTAGTAGCCTTCCTATATTGACACCCCTCTGTACGATCAACTCATGGCGCCGATGGTGTTGGTGGTCTGAGGTGCGCTAAGGTGCGAAGGTACTCCAAGGAATGGCGCTTCTTCTGCAGGGAGTGCGTGCTGCCATCGCTGACCCCATTCTGTCACACCTTTAATTCGATCAACTCACGGCGCCGATGGTGTTGAGTCAACTCACGGCGCCGATGGTGTTGAGTCAACTCACGGCGCCGATGGTGTTGAGTCAACTCACGGCGCCGATGGTGTTGAGTCAACTCACGGCGCCGATGGTGTTGAGTCAACTCACGGCGCCGATGGTGTTGAGTCAACTCACGGCGCCGATGGTGTTGAGTCAACTCACGGCGCCGATGGTGTTGAGTCAACTCACGGCGCCGATGGTGTTGGTGCGGGGCCTGAGGTGCGCTATGGTGCGAAGATACTCCAAGGAATGGCGCTTCTTCTGCAGTGGGTACGTGCTGCCATCGCTGCCGCCCACCTGGGAGAGAAGAGGAGATGGGAAGAGACGAGAGCAGGGAAGAGTGGGTGCGTGCTGCCATCGCTGGGGGAGGGGAAGAGAAGAGAGCAATCACAGGGAAAACTCCGAGCACATAGAAGTAGAATCAGAACTACAGATTTGGTACCTGAGTAGTAGAGTTAAGTGATAAGTAGCCAGTCAAAGCCAACGTGAGAAAGGAGGGTTCAGGGCGTGGATGGAGCAGAATATGAGACTCTATTAGGCTCTAATTTCCGTACAAGAGTGAGCTTTTGCGCCTTGATCTCGATCTTCTGCCCCTTGCCCTGGCTCTCCACCACCTCCCCTTCCACTGACACTGCTGCGCCTGTGGTGATGCCGCCACCCTCCACCTGGTGTGGCAGCAGCAGGGGGAAGAGCATGCATGGCAAAACAAGAGGGCGTGGGCCGCCTTAGAGCTTCTGGGCTTTGAGCTCGACCCTCTGCCCCTTGCCCTCCTGATTCTCCACCACCTCCTCTTCCCACGACACTGCTGCCCCCGCGGTGATGTGGCCACCTCAACCTAGTGTGGGGGGAATGAATATCGTTGACAGAAACGGGAGAGCATGGCTAGTCGTTCGGAACATTGGGCATTGCGACGATTTCTGCCCCTTGCCCTGCGCCTCCTCCACCTCGCCCATCCGCCGGCACTGCTGCCCCTGCGGCGATGCCGCCACCTTCAATCTCGTGCAAGGGACGTCAAGCCAGAGGAATGAATTCCAAGCCAGCGGCGATGCTGCCAAACTGTATCTGACAGGGGCGAGCGATAGTTCGGGGATGGCTGCAGGATACTCATTATCTGCCTGTTGTAACCTCCCGGTAGCCAGCTGCCGTTACCTCCAGGTAACCTTCTGTTACCTCCTGGTAGCCTTCTGTCTGTTGTTACCTCCTGGTAGCCTTCTGTCTGTTGTTACCTCCTGGTAGCCTTCTGTCTGTTGTTACCTCCTGGTAGCCTTCGATCTCAGGTGTGGCGACCACCTGAATGCCTGAGAGAGAGGAGCCATCGTTGAGCTGGACGGAGGACGGAGGGAAGGACGAAGACGGGTGAAGAGGAAAGGAGAGGACAGGACAGGAGAGGAGAGGTTGAAATGAGAGGTTTGATGGAGCGAAGAGGAGGTAGGCGAGGCGGGGGGAAAGAAGTCACGTGGGGGCAGAAGGGGGAGGAGGGGCAGAAGGGGCAGAAGGGGGAGGAGGGGCAGAAGGGGGAGGAGGCGTGATTGGCGTACGCATTGGGCTTGCACATCGGAGTATGGCGGTCGTGAGAGGAATACCATGAAATGGACGGCATCAAATAGCCTGGAATAGCATTGCACGGCATGGCATGGCATGGCATGGCGTGGCATGGCATGGCATGGCATGGCATGGCATGGCATGGCATGGCGTGGCACGGCATGGCACGGCATGGCATGGCATGGCGTGGCATGGCATGGCATGGACTGACATGACATGACATTGCATAGATGATAGCTCAGATGACTTGAAAATGTATGGCATGTCATGGAGTAAAAGGAACCACATTGCATGGAAATGTCACAGCGTGGGATCACATCCCATCCAAATGTTTCCTCACTCACCTCAATGAAAGAAAAGGCCTTTTGGGAGCGCACAGTCCGCACCCAACCACGGAGCTCCACGTGGCGCCCAACCTGCATCCCATCAGGCAGGACGGGGATACCCAGTAGAGTACATGACAGCGTTAGACACACCTCCTTGGTGTGTTACACTTGTAACAGTGTGTGTAACACGTGTTACAGAATCAGAAACGATGGTCCAACGAAGTCACTTACATCCCTTTGTACACTTTCTAGATACACCTCCCTCAGCTACTTCCGACCTCCAGCCATCTCAGATACACCTCCCTCAGCTCATACCTGGCCCAGCCCTTCGTCCGGTCCGTTCTTAATATCCGCAATCCTCAGCCGCTTCTTGAGCTCCTTCACCCTCCGCCGCTCAAAGCAACCACAACCTTTCACCTACAGCCATCTCGGATAAACCTCCCTCGGGTATTACCTGGCCCAGCCCTTCGTCCGGCCCGCTCTTAATATCCGCGATCCTCAGCCGCTTCTTAAACTCCTTCACCATCCGCCGCTCCCTGCGCCTCCCCGCCTCCGCATTCCCGCCATTCCCGCTCCCAGAAGCCACGCTGCCGGCTTTCTGTCCACTCGTCTGTTCCACGTCAGCTACTGCTTCAGCTGACGACGCGGCTGCCACGTCAGCAACTGCTGACTCAGCTCCAGCTGTCGCTCCACCGTCGCCAGCTGAGCTTGAAGCCAAGCATCGCACATTGCTACCCCTAAACGCTGGCCGCCTATCAGCGGGCGTCACGTGTGCAAGAACGGTCGATGAGTGCTCCAGATGTCTCCGCAGAACGCGGTGCCCAGAGCCATGAAGCGATCGTCGAGAACCGCCGATTTGATTCCGCGTGCATCCCGCGATGCTTGCAGTCGCCACGGGACACCCGAGGCGAATCGCCTTGGCGGGGACCATCGATTGGTGCAGACGCACGGCCGCGACTCTCAACGCCGGCACGCATCGGCCTGCCGTCCAGTTCATACTCGCCGACATGGAACGACGCGAATCAATCTTTCGCGTTTTGCTTTCCTAGCGCCTATGAGCGTCCCAAGGCTAAGACGGAAAGAGTGCAAAAACAGTGGTTGCACACCGGCCAAAGCGGGCTGGCCTAAAAAAAAAAAATGGCGGCCTGCTTCCGAATCAGAACTCTGGATGCGAGAAGAACCAGCCCCTGGGATTTGGTTGGGATGGGATGGGAGCAAGTCGGGCCAGAAGAAAAGCAACACAGCAGCAGGGCGGGAAAAGCACCACAGATGTTTCTGTGGCAGCAGCAGCACGTTCGTGGTGGAGGAATACCGAGGGAAAGGACCAGCAGGTGCCACGTCATGGTTGTCTGGGGGGCTTCGGTATGGAGGTTACACATGACGAGGTATGTGGTAGTTTCACTTATTTGACAACATGTACTCAAACTGTTAAATACTAACATTCTCTCCTAGGTATACACTTCAATGTTGAAGGCGTGTATCAAGAACCTTACTAAACTCGCATGTCAAGGAAAGAATTTCAAGTGTTTATTCGTTAATGACCATATACCTACTCTTCCTTCCGAGCTTCGTTAACCACACGCAGAGTCTCCTGCGCAATGCAGAGCTCCTCATCAGTCGGCACAACCATCACCTTGATCTTCGACCCAGCCACTGAAATCTCCCGAGCACCCTTCCCCTCCTCATTCCTCGCCTTATCCACCTCAATCCCAAACGCCTCCATTCCTGCACAAACTCGGGCCCGTACTGGCGCCGATCGCTCCCCAATCCCCGCACTGAACACAATCGCATCCACCTTCCCTCCCAGCTGCACCAGATACGCCCCCAGGTACTTCCTCACGCGGTGAACAAACACCTCCAGAGCAAGCCGGTGCCGGCCGCCCCCTTCCAGATCATCCCCTGCCGGTATGCATGTAGCTTCAGCAGCCTCAGTGCGGTCCACTACCGCCTTCATGTCCTTGTCCCCGCAGATTCCAACCAGGCCAGACTCCTTGTTGAGGAGGGAGTCGATTTGAGGGGGGGAGAGGCCCTGCAGATCCGAGAGGATCTTGGGGATGGCTGGGTCGATGTCGCCGCACCGAGTGGCCATCACAAGGCCTTCCAGGGGGGTCACTCCCATGGTGGTGTCAATGCACTTCCCCTGCATACGAAAAGGAAGGGAAAAGAGCGGGTCAAAACAGTGCGTCAGGCATTCTAGGGAAACAAGGCCACGCATTGAAAAGGATACAGCCAGGAAGATCATGCCCCCACTAGATTCGCTTCCCCCCCACTGCACTGCTGAAACCCCTTCTTCTCACCTCCTTGATGCACGCCATGCTGGCTCCGGCCCCCAGGTGCAGCGTGATCATGTTGACCTCGCTCTCCTTCTTCCCCAGCTGCCGGGCCGTCTCCCTGAGCAGGTACATGTAGCTGGTGCCGTGGAAGCCATAGCGCCGGATGCCCAGCTCCTTGTACAGCCGGTACGGCAGGGCGTAGGTGTACGCGTGGGGGGGGATGGTGCTGTGGAACGCCGTGTCGAACACCGCCACCTGCGGGCAGTCCAGCAGCTCCTGCGCCACCTCCATGCCCTGGATGGACGGCAGGGGGTTGGGGAGGCAGGTATGGACGGGGGATAGGGGAAGGAACAGTGGGAAGGAGGTACGTACAGAGCGTCGACTGGAGACAATCCCAGCAGCTGTTGCGCCACCACCATGCCGTGGACAGATGTCAGGAGGTTGGGAGGGGTGGAGGTGAAGCTACGTCAGGACGAGATGCGGAATGACGTGTGGAGAGGTTACATATAGTGCACCACTGAACGGGCATGCCCATGCGGGTGGAGGGGCAACGCCAAGGGATGGCACACAAAGTGTACTGTGTGTGTGCACGCGAGTGTGTGGAAGCGGGGGAGAGGAGGGACGCGGGGGGGGGAGGGGGGGGAAGGAAGGAGAACGCGTGAGGGTGGTGTGAGCGAGTACTTTCCTGCCCGAGTAGCTTCGTCTCTGCACCTTCACAATGGGCCTACCACTTCCTGCCCGAGAACTTGCATGTCCGCGCATGAAAATAATGCAGCGAATCAGTGTGTTTCACAACGGTTCAGTGCGTTACCTGGAGGTTAGGCGGGTTGTGCAGTGGCGCGAGCGGCGTGAACTTCTTGAGCACGTCCTTCACGTGCTCCGTGATGATGCACGAGCGGTTGATCTCCTCACCGCCGTGCACCGCTCTGTGCCCCACTGCCGTCACCGCGCTGCTACCCTTGCTGATGCCCATCAGGCTCAGCGCGTGCGACATGGCCTCCTTGTGGTCGCTGAACACCGCTTTCTGCACATCACACACACACAGCGGGACAGTGCGATGTTTGGGAGACGCAGAACGGCGTCATGATTGAGTGAGTGAGCAAGCGAGTGAGAGAGCGAGCGAGTGAGACAACGAGAGGGATCACTGAACTGGGCATCATGAAACGAGGAGATCGATCAGAAGGGGTGGAAGGGGCTGACCTCGTGGACGGTCTGGTTGGTCGCGAGCGCCTTGTGCGTGATGACGCCCTTGGGAGTGCCGATCTGCTCCACCAGGCCCGACACCGCCAGCTTCGCCTTCACCGCATCGGCGAACTCGTACAGCGCGTATCTGCGGGCAGAAGGAAACGGGCGGGGGGGGAGGGGGGAGTTCTAAGTCGACTCAGAACTCGCCCTTGGGGGTGCCGATCTGCTCCACCAGGCCCGACACCGCTAGCTTCGCCTTCACCGCATCAGCGAACTACAGCGAGTACCTTCAGGCACGAGGAAAATAAGGGGACGGGGGAAAACGACATTGTGCTGGACTGGCTCTACGAGCCTACACGTTTCCGAACATTCTAACAGAAGGCTCGAACGAGGTGATCATGCTGGGTTAGCTGCATTGCTCTCTCATTGTAGAAGCAATGAAGCGGAACGGCTCTGCCAGAATGGTATGCGGCTCCGTGGAGCAACCAGCTCATATCTATTACAAGAGAGAGACGTACTTGAGAGACGAGCTCCCGGCGTTCAGCACGAGGATCGCCTTGGATTTCGCCATGCTTAGGCTTCACGAGAAACCTGCTTGCTTTGCGGAGCTTGGCGAGACTTGGATGAGAGCTAGAGTGGCAGCCAAAGCGAGCGTGGCTACAAACCCAGAAGCCACGGATGGTCGGGTGCGACACCAACTCACTGAAAATTAACAGCTGACTTTGCCTGACTACTTGACTGAGAAGCAGCAGTCTGGTGTGTTATGTATGTTCCCTGGCTCAGGATTCAGGATCAGTGAAACCAACAAGCAAGCAATCAGGGAAGGGAAGAAAGGAATTCAGAGATGCTTCATGCAATGCAGCCCATGCTGGCGTGACGTGGCGTTGATTTTCCGATGTGGCTGGGCTCGTGACAGACGTGTGCCCTGATTCTCCGCGCCAACCCCAAGAATCTCGCAAAACGAGGTCACAAAGCCACCAGCCCACTGCCCAATCAGGGGCATGCCAGGATGCCTATTTGACCAATTGAATGGTGAATGTGCTAGAAGTTCAAGATATGTATGTAGTCCCGGAAAAGTCCTTTTACAAAAGCTGGTTACAGATCACAATAATTATTGTCGAGTTCCTCGAAACGGATCCAGTGTTCTTGAAACCTTCGGAGGGAAACCCAAGGCAGCTCGAGGCCAGGAGCAACAACAGACCACCAGTACCAGCACGCCCTAGGGAACTCCAGCTGCTCTGATGGTGGTCATCCTCGGAGCTCCATTGACCCCAAGTTTGATGCTCCCAAGGCTTGATGCTCCAGTTGATACTCCCAAGGGTTGCTCTTGCTGCTCTGCTCCGTTCTCTGACTCTGGCAGAGACGCAAATTTAGCCTTCGCGCGCATCGTGTTGGCTCGTTCTTGAGTGCCAACTCTTGACCTCCGAGCTCTTCAGGCATTGCTGGCAGTTTTGATACATCGCGGGAGCCATGCTCAGATTGCTAGGGAAGCGGGTGGTGCAGCAAGCTAGCAGAGCGCGTAGCTGCCAAACCCGCAGCCACTCCGGCGGAAGCATAGACTACTCCTCCTCAGGGAGCGCCGCGCGAGGCCGATGGATTGATATTTGCCGGAAGTATCAATCGCAATCGCGGGTGTTCCCTGAAGCCACCCAGTCAGTGGGTTCGTCGGAAACGCAGTCTGTGAATCGGTTTCACGGATCAAATGCAAAGGAAGGAATACCAGCTGTTTCCGCTGCTCAAAGAAGAGCACTGAGCAGCTTCGCCGGCAGAGATGGTAGAGAAGAGAGAGGAGGTCAAGGAGCGAAGGCCACAGCAGGTTCGTCGGATCATCAGCAGAGCAGATCGATCAGCGGCTCGAGCAGGATCAGCATGCCTGGCAATGTGGGAGCGTCGCATTCCAAGCAGCCGCATCAATTCGACGGTTCGATTTATCTGCACCACGCCGAGTACGTTAGCCGCGTCGCATTCGTCCTTCATCAGGAAAGTTACCGTGTCGCCAGACTATTGTCGTTTTCTGCGACCGTCGCCTAGCACCGTCGCATCGTTCGCATACGTTCCTTCTGTCAGAGCTGGTTGTCGCACACCGAAAAATACGCGTCTTTTTTCTCCCCTCCTGTTCGCTCCCTGCAGTGTCGGCGCGCCTCTTAACTCCGCCGCTCTCAGCATCGGACTCATTCACGCGCTACAGGTAAAGCTCACGTCTTCCCAGCCTGCAGGCAGAAGTGAAGGGCGGAAAGTCTTAGTCGACAGCCCAACAAAACGCGGATAATCGAGCGACTTTCGTGTCTGCAGAGAAAACATTCTTAGTACGGTGCTCGAGGAACATACGCTTTAAGACGCAACGCCGATCTGGGTGTTGTCCAAAGACTCTCTGGGTGTTCGTCGTTAACGCCTCTTTAAGGTTACATAACTGATGGCGTACGAACACTAACCGTGATCCCCCCTTGGATGGATGATTCCCGCGGATCCCCCCGCCCCCCCTCCCCCACCCCACCCGAATTGCCAGGTTCTGCGGCCAGGCGTGGGTTACTTTCGCCCGATCGACCAGACTTCGCATGGTGGCAACCGAGCGGAGCTGTTTCACGAGATATTTCGCATGCGCACGCCTCAGGAGGACATGTTCGGGCTCACCCAGGACCAGGCGTACGGCCTGCTGACGTCAGAGAAGATGGACGAGCTGCTGGAAACCATCATTTCAGGTCAGTACCCCTCAAAACCTTGGATGGCATGGCACCTTGGATGGCATGGCACCTTGGATGGCATGGCACCTTGGATGGCATGGCACCTTGGATGGCATGGCACCTTGGATGGCATGGCACCTTGGATGGCATGGCACCTTGGATGGCATGGCACCTTGGATGGCATGGCACCTTCGATGGCATGGCACCTTGGATGGCATGGCACCTTCGATGGCATGGCACCTTGGATGGCATGGCACCTTCATTGGCATGGCTCAGGTCATTTCAGCACGTTGGCGCCGTGATTTTCTCCTAGTCCAGCCCTGAGCGTGTTTCAGTTTCCTTTTCGTTCTGCATGATCGCTCCACTTCGACTTGCTTCCCTCTACACGACAATCCCTTCCCCTCTCGCTCCTCCCTACCTTAGCGTCCTTCCGTTACGCTAATTATATAAGCCTTTGAAGCTTATTGTTCTCTCAACGCCCGTTCCTGCATTCCCCCCGCCTTAACCCATCAACGTACGAGCGGTGCAAGCGGCACCACCACTTCGTGGTGATCGAGAACACGTCTACTAACTCATCCCTCCTCGACCTTTCCCGTTACTGTTCCCCAGCTGTGCTTTCTCGTTCGTGTCATCCCCCTGCTTCCGCCCATCAGCGTACGAGCGGTGCAAGCGGCACCACGGCTTCATGGTGATCGAGCGAGAACACATCTACTGACTCATCTCCGCTCGACCTTTCCCATCACTGTTCCCTAACTTTGCTTTCCAGTGCATCCCCCCGCCTGTGCCCATCAACGTACGAGCGGTGCTAGTGGCACCATGACTTTGTGGTGATCAAGGGCACGTCCACGCGCCACGGCACCAACACCTCGCCCCTCAACTGTCTCACTATCTTGCGACTTTCCCCATACCCCTTCTCCAACTGTGCATCCTCTCTACCTCTGCCCATGCCTATCAGCCTACGAGCGGTGCAAGCGGCACCACGACTTCGTGGTGATCGAGGGCACGTCCATGCGCGACGGCACCAACACCTCGCCCCTCAACGGCCTCATCGCCTCTGCCCTCGAAGCCCCCGCGCTGCTGCTCTCCGATGGCCGCGCCGCCTCGCAGTTCCACCCGAAGCATACCGAGGTATACATCCCATGGCCCAGCCTGTACTTGCTATAAATGGTATCCATCCGTGTCTCACTGGCTCTGCCCTTGAAGCCCCCGCGCTGCTGCTCTCCGACGGCTGCGCACCTCGCAGTTCCGCCCCAAACACACCGAGGTATGCCCGCAGCCCGTGGTTGTTTTGGGGAATCCTCAAAGCAATCCTCAAAGCAATCCTCAAAGCAATCCTCAAAGCAATCCTCAAAGCCGGCATGTAAGTATTCATCCCAGTTTCATCGCCTCTGCCCACGAAGCCCCCGCGCTGCTGCTCTCTAACGGCCGTGCTGCCTCGCAGTTCCACCCCAAACACACTGAGGCACGCCTTTTGGCCTGTGGTTGTTCTGAAAGGTATTCATCCCAGATGCACTGCCTCTGCACTCGAAGCCCCCGACCTGCCCCGTTCCCCTTTCCGCAAATCTCCTGCTCGCCCTGTTCCATCCTGGCAGCGTGTTTGAGGACTGGGACTGGGAGAGAGGGAGGCGGCAGGGTGCACAGCACACCGGACCATGAGCGCATCATGCGGCAGTTCAACGTGGATATGACCCGGCGCCCTCATTTACTCCTTCCCCTGCCCCCTCTTTCCCTCAGAAATGATTTCTGAGTTAACTAAAAAATCATCCATTCCCTCCCCTGCCCCCTCTACCCCACACGCCCCTTCACCCAATCTCCTACTTCCACGCTTTCTGCTCGTCTCGTTGCAGTCGGGGGGCGTGTTTGAGGACTGGGACTGGGAGAAGGAAGCCGCGGGGTGCATACTGGACCATGCGCGCATCATGCGGCAGTCCAACGTCGATGTAGCGGGGGCGCTCATCTACCGCATGCCCAAGACGTCCAGAGGCGCATCAAGGCTCAGAGAGTACATCACAAAAGCGCAGATCCCGTTCGTGGGGGCTGTTCCAGAAGACATTTCTCTGGAGTCGTTCCAGGTAGGACGATTGTGGGGAACGCTTTGAGGGGTGGGTTTGGCAGGGGCGCTCATCTACCGCATGCCCAAGACGTCCAGAGGCGCATTGAGGCTCAGAGAGAACATCGCGAAAGCGCAGATCCCCTTCGTGGGGTTGTGCCAGAAGACATTTCTCTGGAGGCGTTCCAGGTAGGAAGATTGCAGGGGACATTTGTAGGTGATTTTTTAGTCGACTCAAAAATCGTTCCAGGTAGGAAGATTGCAGGGGACATTTGTCTGGATTCGTTCCAGGTGGGCATGTGCAGAAGGCATGTCCTCTAGGTTGAGGGCGTAGTGCGAGCATTGAGCCCGCATCTCCTTCACATTGGCGTGCCGCACAGCAACAACCTGGCAACAGGGTGACCCTGCACCCTCGTGCAATCAGGTTGAGGTGGTGGCTCAGGAGCTCAATGCCCACGTGCTGTATGGTGATGTGCCCCACCGCAACAGCATGACCACTGAGGTCTTCCTCCTCCCGTCTGTGTCTCCCTCCCTTGTGCCATCAGGTTGAGGACGTGGCTCGAGTGCTGAACGCCCACGTGCTGTATGGCGATTTGCCCCACAGCAACAACATGACCACTGAGGTCACCCGCACCCTGATAGCAACCCTCCACCTGGCCGATCTGCTCTCCTACATCCCTCCCTCCGACGACCCGGCCAAGGGCGTGCTCGTGGTGGCGCATGCCAGCCGCCCGGATATTCTCCTGGGGATGATTGACCTGCACGAGACGCACCTCAGCACGCAGGTGCGTATGTGGATGGGTAGGCGTGTAGGCGTGTAGGCGTGGAAGCGTGTAGGCGTGTAGGCGTGTAGGCGTGTGGGCGTGTGGAGAAGAGAGAGACAGGAGGGAGAGGCGAGGAACGTAGAGACGGGGCTGATGGAATGGAGACATGGCCTTCCAGGCCCTCCTGCAAGCAGGCAGGCGTGCTGAGTGCAGGAGCATTGTCATCAAACCACTTCTTTCCTATGCTTCTCCCC